CGGCTAATTTTGATATTAGTAATGGTCTGATGCAAACAACGCAGCCTTCAGTATCACAAACGCCTTGTTTATTGCACATTGATCCACTTGAAAAAGAATTGGAAAAATTGCGCAAGGAAATAGATATAAACATGGATATGCATACCAAAAGGGTTAGTTTCTCCCAGTTCTCTCCCATACCGTTAAAGTGCCTGTTTGTTTCTTCTACTTTTATTTTATCTTTAATTTATTATTATTATTTTGGAGAAGTGCCTGTTGTACAGATGATTAACATTGGCGTACACTCAGCATAGAAAATTCTCTTTGGTGCAGAAACTGCATCTGAAATCTGAATGTGAGAAGGAAATTGAGGAGGTTACTGCTCAAATCCAGAAGAAGTATGAAACTAAGCTGCAAGAGTCTGAGACTGAGTTTGATCTTAGGAAGAAGGACCTTGATGTGAATTACAGTAAGGTTTTGATGAATAAGATCTTGGCTGAGGCTTTCAGGTGGAAATACAATGATTCTAGGACATGTGGTAAGTGGTCGATGCTGGTTTTGATTTGTTCAATGAATATCACTTATATTTCTTATCTGCTAGCATCATCTTGTTTATTTGTTTGGTTACTATCATTTTTATTAGTCTATTAATCCTGCTTCTACTAATAGAGAAGGGTCTAATCGTGCTACCTTTACTATATTTTGTGCTGCTAGCTCAAAGAGATAATATCCATATCCATGGAATTGTTAAATGTTAGACCAAAGGATTTGTATAAATATTGTGAGCTATCCACAAATGGTTATCATAATGTTAAGCTGTGTAAGCAATGGTAGCAAATTAACCTGTGCAATGTATATACCATATTTATAAACAGCTAATTATTTGTTGGATGTATTATACAATCTAATCTATAATTTCCCCAGTTCCTAGGTACACAATTTAGAAAGAGTAATTTATGAATTATTAATAGTTTAAAATATTACTCCAAACCTAAAAATGGAAAAACTTTTCAATTTTCATATATATCAACAATGTTATAGTTCGTACTTCTATAATTATGTAGTTCCTTTTTTCTTTCTTTTCTATATTACCATCTAATATTTACATCGTTTTCATGTAATGTAGCTTCTTGGTCTGTAAATTTGCTCAACTATTCTGACGTCCTCAAAATTCTACTATTATTTGTCGCAGATTCTGGTCCCAGTCTTGCACCACCGATGCTTCAGCAACTTCATCTGCAAAATTTACCAGGGCCTTCTTTGGTAGTCCGGCCATCTTTCACTCCGGCTATAGTTAGTTCTCATACATTCAATGCACCTTCTATTAATATGCAAAGGATGGCAACGGCAGTAAATCCGTCGACCAACTTACCTTCCTCTAGCCCAAGTACAGCTTCCACATCAATGCACGTTCACCATACGTCCACTCATTTCTCGAGCAGTCCTATGAGACCACCACATATTGGCTCCATCTCTTCTCCCACTGGAAACCCACAAGTCGGTAGTGTTATTCGTGCCCCAGCTCCTCATTTGCAACCCTTCAGACCTACATCAGCTCCCCATTTGCAACCCTTCAGACCTACATCATCAATTTCAGCAGCCAATCCTCGTGGTATCTCTACTCAACATGGACCAAGCAATCCTTCTACAATCCCTCCCTCATTTCCTCAGCGTCCACCTCGACCATCTGTCGCTGCACCACATCAATCCATTCCATTGAATAGATCTTATCGCCCTGATAGTTTGGAACAGTTACCTACTTTTTCTAATACGGCCTTGTCTGCACTAGACTTGCTGATGGACATGAACAATCGTGCTGGTGTGAACTTTCCACAAAATTTTCCTCCGCCAGCAGCAGATGTAACCTTGACTGCACCCCAGCCTGTCCCGCTAGTTAGTACAGGTAGCACGCAGGTTAATGCAGTCAATACCACTGGAGATTCAGATGTTGTCTACTTGTCTGACGACGACTAACCAACACGACAAAAGGTACATTTCTGACTTCCAGAGGTCCTTATAACTTGGGGTTTGCTTACATAACTAAGGGGAAATGCAAAATTACGTATCTGAAACCTTTGAAATATTGTAGAGATACATACATGGCTCTCAACTTCAAATGTGTATAATGTAAATATTCATTTGCCCATGTCTACCAGTTAGGTGGTGGTCAGGTTTTGGATACTATTCGGCAGTTTAGAACAGATAAATTGGCTTTTTTCTTGCATCATTTTTTCCTCATCTTTGAGTAGACCCCAATGTGCATTACATGAAAAGGGAAGAAAATTGACCTTGATTCCCGAAGATAGGATTTCAACTGTGTTACTGATCAGATTGTTAAGAGTGCTTCAGCATTTCGACTTGTAAACAGTTTAGTAGACATGTTAACTTAATTGACAAATTGCTTTGATGCTTGGCTCTGTATTTTGATTACTGGTCGAGTACGACAAGGTGGCTCCAATATGTTCCAAAAGCACTGTTGTATTATGATCTTGACTCAATACTTTTTGCAAAGAGGCTAGAATCCATTACTAGAATAAGACTAAATCTTGCAGAACCATATTGAATTTTGATATCCTTGTTCACCAATTACATTTTCTAGTCAAATCCAGTTAGCCATGTTTCTCTAAATATCCTATTGTGGAATTTTCAATTTCCTCCTATTGAACAGAGCATTGATGATGAGTACCTACACAAGAAAATAATCATTATACATATATATATACAATGGAAGAGAAATTTCTTTTGAAAAGCTGATCTTATGGTGTCTTTTGGAAATCCAACACAAATTTGTATCCAAATTTCTTTTTAGAACAGTTGATTTAAAACAAACAAGTATATGTTTAGGCATTTTTTCTTTTAATTTTCCTGTTTAAAAGGTTTTAATGTGACTTGGGTGGACACAAAGGGGTGTGCCAGCAAGGTGGATTGTGATATCTAACATCGGTTGGGGAGTTTAACGAGAACGAAAAGGTATATTTATTCACTGTATGTATCTGTTGGTGTATAAAGGAGTAGATGGATTGGCTGAAAGTTGTGGGCAGTAGTCAAAAACTGTTGGCATATCATAATGCGTCTATCCATCTAAACCGACAAGGATTCTGCCATTAAATTACAGTCAAATCAGTTTAAGTCAAAAAGCACTAAAATCCACAGCACTTCAGCTAAGCCAACTACCAATGTCTCTCATCAATTTGCTTCCCACGTTGTGAAGTGGTTGTGTTGCAAGCACAAACCCTTGTCTTTATCTTTTTCTCTCGTTTTCGAAGTCATCAAATCTCAAATCATAAAAAAAGACGGTACTCTTTTTCTCGTAGTGAATTACTAAATTTTTGTTACAAACAACATGACATGCGAGCTAACGTCAGTGACCAATCTTTTATATAATCTATTTAAAAGTAATACTTCTAGAAACGAACCTCTTTTTCTCATCTTCTATATTATTTTTCAAAAAGTATTAGATGATATAAGAGTGTTTAACTAAAACTCGTGTTTTCTTAAATGGTATAAGAATCGATTCTTATACATGATAAAATAATTGATTGAGGTTGGAAAGTCGAAGTTTTTCACCGACCCTTTTCCAAACGATTTTTTTTCTAGCTAAGGGTAAAAAGATATTAAAGAAGAAGAAAAACCCTTTTGGGAAAAAGAGTGAACAGTATGGAATGTGAAAGGGGCTGTTAAGAAGAGATGGGGCCGTGAAGTGTTTATTATGTAAAAGAGGAAGAAAAAGTGGTTCTTTTTGCATTACAATACACAAACCAGAGGACCCAACACACTGGATGCTTTTAACTCCTTTTCACAAACTCCCATCATTTTTTTTACTTAGTTTAAGTTGATTTCGAGACGTTATGATTCAACGACCCACTTGTGAGTATCATGCTAATTTATCGGTCCACAAAAAGATCATACTTTTTTTGGTCGGAAGGCATATAAGAGAAAGGGTTTGGTTTCAAACCTGATTGCATGTAATTGAGTCGGGAGTTTCTAACTAAAGCAAGGTGGGACCTGGTGGGTATGTGATACCTGAGTAAATAAATGAACTAAGACCACATCAAAATGAGAGCGATCTTGAGGATAGGAAATGAAAGTTACTACTTATACCAATAAGGTGTATCTTCCTCTTCGGTAGCTCAGTTATAAAAACTCTTTAGTTAAATATGTTTTACTCAGAGTTGAATGACGAGACTATTAGACGTAGGATCCACTCTTAAGAAGTAGGGGAATGACAAAGCTATTAAACTTTGAGTTCGAATTTGAATTCTGAATCTTAGACATGGGGCGTTATATCGACTTTTTTTTAATTTTAATTGGTGCTTAAATTACTATTAAATTTGGAATATTTTTTCGTGGCTCAATACTAACAATTTTAAAATTTATAAAAATAGAATTTTTAGAGATTTAAATGTCTGAAATAAATAATTAAAAAGTACAAAAGTTGGCCCATAAAAATAAATTTTTAAATCAAACAAATCATATTTAATAATATTAACAGCTGTGGAACTTTGACCACACGACCTCAACAAATCTGAATATACAGCTGGCAGTCCTATTTTATTTTATTTTATTTTTTTCAAATCAAACAAAGCAATAAATACATAATTTGGTGTATCCATTCCAAAAATAATATTATTATTTTTGGTTAAATAATTTAAACAAAGTTTGAATTTAGTCATTATTTTTTAAAGTTCGATCTCTTACTCGATGAACCGTATAATCAAAAGAGAAATCACGACTTTGACTACGAATTTTACGACTATTCCCTTCATTATCATCAGCGTGGTTGTTGTCCAAGTCTGTCTTCGTCCCTCAAACTACTATTCGTAGTACAATAGTATGAAATTGTCTATTTGAACATAATCTCTCATCACTTTGCTTTGAGCTTTCAAAATGACTCATACCAATACTAATATCAATTAAGATACTATTCCTAATTATAAATTCATGATTATTTTCTAAATTACTCTTTCAATCTCCAATCTAATAAAATTTAGAATAGGAGTGTTATCATGGTAAGCCTCTCTAGAACTGCCAGAAAAAGGATGCTAGGAAGCTACAAGCTCTCTGCCCCATTGAACCAAAACAAAGCTCAATTCCCCTTCCCTTCGCACTGAATTTTCTCTACCCATTTCCATTACTCTTCCCAGTATGCTCTCTTCATACCCACTTGGGTTACCTTAGATTTTACAGCCCTTTCATCTGAACTCAAATCATGGGTTCCACATGGAAGAAGGTGAAAGTGGCTCTCGGCTTCAATATGTGCCTCTATGGCCCTCGAAATCTTGAGGATTCTTTGCCGTCCATGGCGCCTAGATTCTCCGACGGCGCTGCGCCGTCGAATTTGCTTTCTCTGCCGGCGACACCCACCAAGTCGAATTCCCTTCTCCAGCTCTCCAAATCCTCAACCATCTCGTCAAAGGTTTGTTGGGTTCTTTTTATACTTGGGGTTTGCCCCTTCTGCTAGTTTTTTTGTTCTCTGCTGGTGTTTATCTTGTTCTTGTACTGTTGCAAAGCTTTTTTTGTTTCTTTTATTTGATTTCTGAACTTGGGTTTGTGGAGTTTTCTGCTGAGAAGCTTTCTTGATTCTAATTTCTTGTGAACAGAATTAGTGTTGATGTTTTTTGTTTGCTTCTTTTTGGCACTTGGAAGACTGTTGGTGTGTTAAATTCAAGTATGTTATGCTCTTAAAGATTGTCAAGGGAACTCTGTAAGAAGGAAACTAATTATATATTTAAAACAACAAAATCATTGGAATATCCTTATCTGTTCATCAACCATTGCCTCAGAAAAGATAACAAGGGGAAAGAAAAACACTGTGCTACTGTTCTTTATCACTTTGATCTGTTTTACTTTGTGGTTTCAATGTCATGAGTTGTGATGAATTTATTGGGGGAGGAGGGTAAAGTGGAGTAGTCCATTCAAGGACCATGTGAGATCCGCGTTCTTTATAAGGGTGTGGAAACCTCTCTCTAGAAGACGTGTTTTGATAACTTTGAGGGGAAACCCAAAAGGGAAAGCTCAAAGAGGACAATATCTATTAGCGGTGGGCTTGGGAGACGTTTTTTCATCTTATTTGTAGTTATTTCTTCGTTCTACATTTTGAACCGAGCCCAAGTTATGATGTTAAGTACTTGACATAATGTCCATCTCTCTATGTTGTTGTGTTTAAAGATAAATATTGTGTGATGTTATCATTTGATCATCTGAACTACATCTTAAACATGCAGCTCTGTAGCTTTTGTTATTATGAAGTTGGAGTTTTTGGTTCTTTTGTTCTCATCCTCGTGTCATTTTCAAATTGCAGAGAACGTGTGCGATATGCCTGACTGTTATGAGGCCGGGGAAGGGCCATGCTATCTTCACCGCCGAGTGCTCCCACTCGTTTCATTTTCATTGCATCACATCAAACGTTAAGCATGGAAATCAAATTTGCCCAGTTTGCAGAGCCAAATGGAAAGAGATTCCTTTCCAGAGCCCAGCTTCAGATATTCCCAACAGAATGATGAGATTCAACCAACTTGATTGGTTACCAGATGAGTCGTGGATGACCGTTTTAAGAAGGGTTCGCCCCCCATCGATTGATTTGCCTAGACAGGTAGCATCTTTGTCTCATGAGCCCGAACCTGGCCTGTTCGATGATGATGAAGTCCTAGAAGACATCCCTGATAGAGGAACATCTGATGTAGATCCTATTGATGGTTTTTTTGGGAAAATTGAGGTTAAGACATATCCAGAAGTTTCAGCTGTTGCTCAATCAGCATTTTTTGATAATTTCACTGTATTAGTGCATATCAAGGCTAGTTTTGCAAATCACGGGCAGCATTGTTGTGAAAATCGAACACCATTTCCTTCTCAATGTTCTCGTGCTCCAGTTGACCTTGTCACGGTGCTTGATGTCAGTGGGAGCATGACTGGTACCAAGCTTGCTTTGCTAAAACGAGCAATGGGTTTCGTGGTACAGAGCCTTGGCCCCTCGGATCGGCTTTCTGTAATTTGCTTCTCCTCTGCAGCACGACGTGTTTTTCCTCTTTGTCGGATGACCGAGAGTGGACGACAACAGGCTTTGCAAGCTATTAATTCTTTGGTTTCAAATGGTGGAACAAACATCATAGACGGTATAAAGAAAGGGACCAAAGTATTAGTAGACCGAAAGTGGAAGAATCCTGTTTGTAGCATTATGCTACTTTCTGATGGCCAGGATACATATACTTTCGGCATTGATGGTTCACGTTTCGAAACTGACTATCTGTCGCTTCTTCCGGTACCAATCCATCGTAATAACAACACGGCGTTGCAGATACCAGTGCATTCGTTTGGTTTTGGCACCGACCATGATGCTACGACAATGCACTTGATCTCTGAGATTTCAGGGGGAACGTTTTCATTTGTAGAAGCGGAAAATACAATTCAGGATGCGTTTGCTCAGTGCATTGGAGGGCTCTTGAGTGTTGTTGTGCAAGAGCTTCAGGTTAGGATTGAGTGTGTTCATCCTAGTTTGCAGTTCGGTTCACTGAAAGCTGGAAACTACCGATCGAACATCGCTCCTGGTTCAAGAATTGGCACAATAAATGTGGGAGACCTGTATGCTCAAGAAGAACGAGACTTTTTGGTGACGATCAATGTACCGGTTGATGGTTCCTTAGAAGAGATGTCATTGCTCAAAGTCGATTGTACTTACCGAATACCCATTACGAACGAAATGGTGACGTTAGAAGACGTTGAGGAAGTGAAGATAAGAAGGCCTAATGCGATTGGAGAACAATCTGTGTCGATAGAAGTTGACAGGCAGCGCAATCGAGTACATGCCTTGGAGTCGATGGCGAAGGCTCGTGCTGCAGCTGAACGGGGTGATTTGGCCGATGCAGTCTCTGTCTTGGAGGACTGTTATAGAGCACTATCAGAAACTATCTCAGGACAAGCTGGTGATCATTTATGCACATCCCTTCGTGCTGAGCTAAAGGAGATGAAGGAAAGAATGGAAGACCAACGCATCTATGATACTTCAGGAAGGGCGTATGTTCTATCAGGACTAAGCTCTCATTCATGGCAGCGAGCAACCACTCGTGGTGATTCAACACGCAGCGGAAGCCTTATGCAATCGTACCAAACGCCATCAATGGTAGACATGTTGACACGGTCTCAAACCATGTTATTAGGGAACCCAACACCACGGCCCCAAAGAACGCTCCGCCCTACAATGACATTTCCTGCTCGAACTCGTCAACGGTAATCCAACGGTACCATCGGTAACTTCATCCTTCCTGCCATTGTTGTAGACATTTCCTGTTTTTGTGGTATATGGAGTTTTGTTGGGGGGTATATATTTACCTAATGGTTTGGCTGGTATACTTCCTTGTTGTAAGCTGTAAATGAATAAGAATTGTGGGTGAAATATGTTAGTATAATTGGCGTAGTAACAACTATGATGGCTAAGTCAAGCCATGGTGGACTTGGAGACGCCACGCAAGGTGCAAGAATTACGATTCTTCCTCATACTAGTCCTAGTTCGTGTGATTTTGGTTGGAGGTATAGAAGTGAATTATGGGGATATCGTGGCGAGTTTCACTAAGTATGGTATAATATTACTAATTCTTTTCCTAAGTGTTTATTTTTCTTCCACTACCTATCTGAAATGCTAGTTTCGGTAAATTATTGTCTATGGTTTGTTTTGGGTCCATCGAGTTCATTAGGTCCATGTCAAATTGTGAACGGAAGCGATATGTACTACAATAGAAGAGATTTGGGTCCATCGGGTTCATAACGTCAAATTGTGAACGGAAGGATATGTACTACAATAGAAGGAATATGGGTTCATCGGGTCCATCTTCTCAAATTGTGAATGGAAGGGATATGAGCTCATTAGGTCCATCGTGTCAAATTGTGAATACTACATTAATAAGAATATGGGTCTATTGGGTCCATCAGTGTCAAATTCTGAATGGAAAGAATACACATTACAACAGAAGGGATATTGTGAGGTCCCACGTCGATTGAGGAGGAGAACGAAACATTCTTTATAAGGGTGTAGAAACATCTCCTTAGCAACACGGACGTTTTATAAACCTTGAAGAGAAGCCCAAAATGGAAAGCTCAAAGATAACAATATCTGTTAGGGTGGGTTTGAGCCATTACCTAATATGGTTCCATTAGGTTCATCGTGTCAAATTGTGAATGGAAGGAATATGGGTGCATTAGGTACATCGTGTCGTAAGGGATATATACTACAATAGATATGTGTTCATTGGGTCTATCGTGTCAAACTGCAAACATAAGGATGTGTAGTATAATAGAAGGGATATGGGTCCGTCATATTAAATTGTGAATAGAAGGGATGTGTAACTACAATAAGCGGGATATAGGTCTATCGTTAGATCCATCGAGTCAAATATCATTAACAAGCTCCCAATGAACACATAGTTCAATTAGTAAAAAACATTAAGTACGATTAACCTCATTAAGAAAGAAAACTAAAAGACACTATAAAACGTTTTTGTTATTACTAATCATCATAATCAATTATTAGACAAATAATTAAGTAAAACCATTAACCATTTAATTGTAAGTTACAAAGTATAATTACTTTCCCTTCATTAATTAATCATATTATTTCCTTTTCCCAAATACCACACTTCTCTATATAAACTCTATATTTTATGAGGTTTTCACATCAATCCTCCGTTCGTAAAATGGCTAGCCTTTTGAAACTCTTCATTACTATGTCATTTCTAGCTCTCATCGTCTCATCTACAACAGAATCGAGACCGAACCCTGAAATGAGTCTCGCAGTTCGAACGAAGCTGAACGATGAGATATCAGATTGTTGGGGATCTCTATACCAACTCCAGGCATGCACGGCCGAGATTATCACATTCTTCCTTACCGGCGAAACTTATTTAGGCCCGAATTGTTGTGAAGCCATCAAAGTCATCCAGCATGAGTGTTGGCCAACGTTGCTTGGCTCTTTGGGATACACAACTGAAGAAGGAGATATCCTTGAAGCCTATTGTGATACCTCAGCTATTGATACCCTTTTGACAATGTCACCTCCACAACTAGCAATGGCACCATCTATGGACCAAAATAGTGAGCCTAAAAGCTTTGCTCCCTGAAAAGGAAAGTGGGTTTTGTAATAAAATAGCTACGAGGCTGTAGTTTGTCCAGGTTGTTCTTCCGACCTTTGCAATTCTATAGTCAAGAGTTACACTTACGGGTTTTTTTCTATTTCTATTATTTTCGAGAAATATATAATTTTCTTTATATGTTTTGGAGTGATCGTCCTACATCAGTAAAAATTTTTACAGGTTCTTATCATATAAATAATATACATCATGTCATATATGCAACCGACGAGACACTGTTTGATTTAATAATCACTAATCAGAAATTCAGAAAGATCGAACGTGTAGAAATCTATAATGATTGGATAAGAAACAACTTTATGAATCTTCTTGCTTTCAAAACGATCTTGGTTGGTTAAAATGTTTAATTATTTTTTTTAGTGATAATCATGTTATAAGATAAATAATAAAGGAAGGTTTCAAAACACACCATTGAAGTAGAAATTCGTTAAAATATTAAATAAAAAGTTAACGTGCCGGTGATAAGTATGAAATAATAAAATTATATCACATTGACATTTCGTTTAACAAATTTCTCTACTTCAAAGATAGTTTCGAATTGTTCCTCAAATGTTAAGTGTAATAATGAAACTTTTGAAACAAACAAAAATGTTGACGGCTATTATTTTATTTATTATTTTTTAGCTTTTAGGCTAAATTATATAACAAATACTCGTGAACTTTGACTTTTGTTCGAAAATTACCCATAATTTTCAAGAGCTACAATATTACCGACCGTGACCTTAATAATTATATTTGGGATAAAAAGTAAGTGTCTAAATTATTATTACATCATTTTAGACTATTGTCATGTCAATTTTTTATCAACATTATAATTTTGAGATTTCTACTCAAAGGGTAATTTGAAAGGTTTATCGAAAGTGGACGGCTATAATGACAACTTTTTAAAAAATGAAGGTATTTTTAAAATAATTAAAAGTTAAAATTACACGAGCATTTTGTTAAAGGCTAAATTAATAAAAAAAAAAATACTTCGAATTTTGCATTTTATCTGAAAAAAAATACCTATAAACTTTCGAAAGTAATACGAGAAGTTAAAATGAAGAGTTATAAAACGATACAAAGGGATAATCAATTATAAAACGTTTTGGTTATTGAAAAGTGATAATCAATTATTAGATTAATTAAGTAAAGCCATTAAGCATTTAATTGTAAGTTACAAAGTCTTATTAATCATACGTTGCCTTCTCTATATAATCTCCCCATTTCATTACCCATTCATTTCAACTCTTCATCTCTCAAATCTTTCCTTCCTAAAATGGCTAATCTTTTGAAACTCTTCGTTCTTACGTCTTTTCTAGCTCTCATCGTCTCATCTACAATGGAATCGAAGTCGAACCCTGAAATGAGTCTAGCAACTCGAATGAAGCTGAACGATGAGATATCAGATTGTTGGGGATCTCTATACCAACTCCAAGCATGCACGGCTGAAATTATCACATTCTTCCTCAACGGTGAAACTTATTTAGGCCCGAATTGTTGTGAAGCCATCAAAGTCATCCAACATGAGTGTTGGCCTACGTTGCTTGGCTCTTTGGGGTACACAACTGAAGAAGGAGATATCCTTGAAGCCTATTGTGATACCTCAGCTATTGATACCCTTTTGACAATGTCACCTCCTCAACTCGCAATGGCACCATCTACGGACCGAAATAATGAGCCTAAAAGCTTTGCTCCCTAAAAAGGGAAGTGGGTTTTGTAATAAAATAACAAGAATTACACGACGTTAATTTTCTTTATATATTTTAGAATGAACGCTTCTATGCTAATAAAATTTTCTATATTCAAGTTATCGATTGGAGAACTCGTCTCAACCCATTTTAATAGATTAAGATCATATTGTTGGAAGATGAAAGTCCCACATCGGTTAATTTAGGGAATGATCATAGGTTTATAATCAATATTATCTCCATTGGTATGAGTCTCAAAGCAAAGACATAAGAGCTTATGTTCAAATGTCGAACAAAGGACTCCAAAAGAAAAATGAGTCGAGCCTCAATTAAGGGGAGACATATTTTGTTCGAGGGGAGATGTTGGATGATGAAAGTCTCACATCGGTTATATAGACGCCTAAGCATAAATTTGACCTCTACATTTGAGAACGAAATGAACAAAGTATAGATGGTTTTGCATTCCTTATAAGGGTATGAAAACTTCTCCTTAACAGACACGCCTTAAAACTTAAAAGCTAACAACGATACGTAACGAGCTAAAGTGAACAATATCAGCTAGCGGTTGACTTGAGCTGTTACAATATTTGTTCGAGAGCACGATTCTCTCTTTTTCGTGTAAAGCATTCGTTTAATGTTCGATGTCCTAAAATCGAAATTCACCACTTGTTAGGTGTGCGTCCATTTACTTCAACTTAAATGACCACCGCCTATACACATTCACTTTTTGCAACTAAACTTCGTTTCATACGTAACAGTTCTCAATTAGTTATTTATATTTATATTTTAAATTTATTTTGGTGTCTACATATTTAAATTTACATAAATTTAACATTAATAACTGTGGATGAAAATCATTAATTACTGTTTATTCATGAAATAAATATTAATAATTAATAGCTATTTTGTCTATTTATTTTTAAATAAAAGTACGGATAAAGTGATTACTTAAATTATTATATAAGCATAACTTTAATTAAAGTGCTTTAAACTTTTTTTTTAATTAAAAAAAATCTTGAATCTAAATGATACTGCCAATGTGCTTCCAATCAGCACTTTATTTTGGTGGGTTTTATCACATTTTCATTATGGAATTTTTTTTTATTTAATTTTGGTCTTTATATTTTAAATATTTTAAAACCTTTTGTTTTGATTACCTACTCCTCCTTTTTAAGAGCGAAAATTATTCTAAAGACATCACAGACAAATTTCTAAGATGTCACTCGACATATATTTACTCCGAATAAAGCATGTTCAACCCTGTAGTTCTTATGATTGAGCCACTAAAAAAGGAAGTTGATATCGCTTTGTGGTATCGTTTTATTCATATACCCATCATTTACTTGGGTATCACATATTTACTATGACCGAGAGAACGGGATATTAATTTGTATATCATTAGATATGAGATCGAATAGGAAGAGTCACATGAACAAATTTTTGAATTTGAAAGCATGGAATGAATCTATGATTTGAAAATGAGGAAGATTGATGGGAAGGAAAAGGTGATCAACTTTGTTTTGGGTAGGAAAGTTGAAGTTTATGGTTTCTAATTTGATACCAAAAGAACCCTTTGATTGTGATATGTGTTGTTTCATTTCAAAGTAACAAATGCTCTCTTTTTACATTTTTGCCTTTTTCCAAGTGAGTCTATTGTCTATGGGAGTAACCCATTTTAACCATCAAAATTTCATTTCAGATGTCGCCTAGTAGGGTCGATAGTAAGACACTGTGTGTGATGAAGTAGTAGTAAGCACCATTTCACCCCAACAAGTCCGATGAAAAGACTTTTTGAATGGAGTAAAAGAATTTGAGATCGTCGATCTCTTCCATCAAGATTGAGATGAGTCAATGTCGGTCGATGGTGTGGGGAACCCATGCGAAGAAAATTCCTCTCTTGGAACTCCCACCTTGATCTCTATGAAATCTAACGAAAAAAGTTGTGAAGACAAGGATTAGATGGGGCTAGAGATGACAATGTAACAACTTGAGGCTAATGCTAGTGGATATTGTCTGTTTTGGCCCGTATCGTCGTCAACCTCATGATTTTAAAACGCGTTTGCTGGGGAGAGGTGTCCACATCTTTATAAAGAATTCTTTGTTCTTCTCTCCAACCAATGTGGGATCTCATAATCTCCCTCTTTAGAGGTCAGCGTTGTCACTAGCACACGCATACCCAGTGTCTAGTTCTTATATCATTTGTAACTATTCAAATCCACTGTTAGTAGATATTGTCTGTTTTGGAGGATCTCAGAGACGATAAGACCCATCCATAAACATTGTTTGACATATTAAAAAAATAATAAATTAACCATGTCCTAAAAAACCCCATGAAAATTAATATTGGGCCAAAACTAATAATGATAGTGCATGGCGACTCAGCTTCAAATCAAATCCTCATCTTTGTTTTAATTTCTTTATGAGTTTTCCTTTGTTGCATTCAAATTCCCCAAAAACACAAAGTTTGGCTCAAACCCATTTTCCCCAACTTTCTTCTTCATCTTCTTCATCTTCATCTTCATCTTCATCTTTGCTACTATTTCAAGCCATTTTTTTATGCCTCTGGTTTTGTAAGTTGTGGGTTCTTCTTTTGAGGTTTGTTTTGGCTTTGGATTGTTTGCGGAAGAAGCTATTGTTAGCTGTTTATTTCGCATCTATTTCCACTCCATTGCTTTAACTTCAAGTTTTTGTAAGTATTTTTTACTTCTTTTTCTTGTTGTTGTCTTCTTGGGTTTGCTTTTTTTTAAGTTTTCTTTCATTCATGGCCATCCCATGCTCGTTTTGGTTGCTTTCGCAGTCAAATCTGCCTTGAAATATGGCGTTTACACCTTCTTTCTTCCACAACTTTTGAGTTAAAGGACCTCTTTTTATTATTTCTTTTGGGTGTTTTCTAATTTGGAGATTTGGGTTTTTGTTTTTTCAATCAAAGATTTTTATCTAGTTTCTAGACAGAGAATGGAGGAGCCATTTTCTGAGGCTTCAAATCCGGGCTAAAAAGGCAGTAAGCCTCAAGGTGATGCGTTTTTTGACACTGTTTCAACTAAAACTAATATTATAAGCATCAACCCCATGTGACATTGAGTGCATTTCTCATGTACAAACGCTTCTTCCTTTATTAAGTCTCCCAATTCTGTTCTTGTTCATAACTCACCTCTCTTGACAGGCCTTTCTCAACTCATTTTTGGCCAACTTTCTCAGGTCGAAGATGATGTTTCGATATCGGTAATCTTTTCAGTTTCATTTGAAAAAGACTGTGTTTGATTAGTGGTTCGGTTGCAGGTAGTGATTGTTCCGAAATCGTGTTGTGGAAGATGGGAATGTTTCGGAATCCTACAACGCGAAACGGGGAGTATTTAGAAGGGATGATAAATGAGTATGTTGGAGGAGGAAAGGGAAAGTTAAGAGCTCAAAGAAATACCTCAACAAAGCTTGTTACTTCTCTTACATGTCTCCAGTTTGCCTTTGCAATATATGCAACGTTTCTACTTTATTATGTGAGCCCTGCAATAGACTTGAGAACCAAACCAGATTTCTCTTGGGCTACTAGAATTGCTCAGCAATGGAAACAGTTTGTAATACCGCCCCACGTCGTGGGACGATATCAAGAACAAACTTCTTTTGCAGAATTCAGACCGATCACACCGGAGGAAGCTTGTGAGAACGAGAAGATTGATTTCGAGCAAAAGAAGTCGAATGATGCACAGATGATCAAGTTGAAAACAGAGCTTTATAATGAGGTTTTAGATTTTCAAAGCCAAAGCTTCGGAACTGAAACTCTTTCTCAGCTTATGGCAATGAAGTCTAAATGGGATTTGAGAGGGAAAAACAAGCCAAAAGTTACTGTGATCTTGAACCATTTCAAGAGGAAAACTCTGTGTGCACAGATTAACTCTTTGCTGCATCAAACTCTTCCTTTCCACCATGTTTGGGTGCTTGCATTTGGGAGCCCAAATGAGCTCTCACTGAAGAGAATTGTAGATAGCTATAACAACTCAAGAATTAGCTTCATTAGTTCAAGCTATGACTTCAAGTACTATGGAAGGTTCCAAATGGCCTTACAAACCGAGGCCAATTTAGTATACATTCTCGACGACGACATGATTCCTGGCCATAAAATGCTACAGATTTTGTCTCATGTAGCAGGGACGGAGAAATACAAGAATGCAGTTTTGGGCAGTATAGGGAGGATTTTGCCATTTCGACAGAAGGATTTCACGTTCCCGAGTTATCGAAAGTTTCGTTCCAAGGAGGCAGGGCTTTACTTGCCTGATCCTGCTTATAACATCACAGTCAATAAAATTGTGCAGGTGGATTTTCTCTCCAGCTCTTGGTTCTTATCTGCAGAGCTTGTGAAGACACTTTTCATTGAAACTCCCTTCACCTTTGCAACAGGGGAAGATCTCCATCTAAGGTAACTTTAACTCGATTTACGTTCCTGCTTTCTTCATTTCTACGGTACTACAAATCAACTGAGTCATAACATAATGTGAGATCCACATCGATTGGAGAGGGGAACAAAGCATTCCTTAGTATACGCATTTTAAAACCTTGAGGGAAAGCCCAAAGAGAACAATATTTGTTAGCGGTGGGCTTGGGTTGTTACAAATGCTAGGAGTGGGTTTGGACTGTTACAAATGGTATCAGAGCTAGACATTAAGCGGTGTGCCAATGAGAACACTGGCCCCCAAGGGGAGTGGATTGTGAAATCCCACATCAGTTGGACAAGAGAACGAAACATTCCTTATAAAAGGGTGTGGAAACCTCTTCTTAATAGAGGCGTTATAAAACCTTGAGGGGAAGTCCACAACAGAAAACCCAAAAAAGACAATATCTTCTAGCGGTGAGCTTGGGCTGTTACACATAACCTGACAAACGAAGGCTGTCTTTTTGGTGCATTATTTGCAACAAACTAGCAGTCATGGAATGGAAATTGTGGAACAAATTCCTTTGAGTGTGAAGCATTATCAGAATTTCACATTATAAATGGCTTTAGCACTGAAATTTGATCTCATCTTTCCAGTAAATTCTGGACAGCTAATTGTTATCCATCCCAAATTATGCAGCTATCAGCTTCAAAAATACAGAAACGCTGGCTCGTTCGTTCTTCCTGTAGATCCAAAAGACAAGGAAACCTGGGGTGACAGTGAACACAGGCTGGCTTACGTGTCCGAGACAACTGTGATATTTAAGGACATCATTCAAGTTCGGGATGATCAATGGTGGAAAGCGCTGTCTACTGGCTATGTCACACAATGGGCAGCCATGCATCCTCAAAAGATAGATGCTCTATTCTATGCTCATTCTGTTGATGAAGTTAAAGCACTAGCCCCACTTCTTGAAAAGTTCAGGTCCACTGTTGGCAAGAAAGCTTATATTGTAGTGTCGGGAGGCACTTTTTGCCCATGTGAAGATGCTGCAGCTGCTCTTAAATGGCCTAAGTTGGTGTGTAAAGAACGGAGGTTCAAGATATTTGACTTAGCCATTGGGGCTCTCTCTGGCCTATCAAATTCTGAGGTGCCCGTGGTGCAAGCAGTGTATGCTAGTATGAAGGGATTGATCCAAATACACAATCCAAGCATCATCGTCACGGTAGCCGATCTCGATCCTAACGTAAAGAAGGCTTTGAAAATGGCGTCCGAGGCTAACATGAATACTATAACACTGATTCTTTTACCAAGGCCTTCCATTTCAAAAGTTCTTTGGATGGCTGATCTTCGACCAACCGCAATTCCAAGTAAGACTACTACGACACTTTTTTCACTCAGTCGAAAATTCTTGCCATAGCTTAACACTCGTGCGTTTTTTCCTTCTTCAGATTGGAACAAGATGCGGATTTCAATCAACATTATCACACAAAACCGCGCCAATTCGTTAACAAGGCTTCTCAAATCACTCAAAGATGCATATTACCTAGGGGATGAGGTACCTATCAGCTTCAACATGGACAGCAAAGTGGATGAGGAAACTATCAAATTAGTAAGCTCATTTGAGTGGCCCCATGGCCCCAAAAGCCTTAGAAGGAGAATCATCCAAGGAGGGCTAATACGAGCAGTGAGCGAGAGTTGGTATCCAGCTTCAGACGACGATTACGGTCTCCTACTCGAAGATGATATTGAAGTCTCTCCATACTACTACCTATGGATCAAATATGCTCTCCTAGCATACCACTATGATCCACAAATATCTCTACCTGAGCTATCGACGATATCGCTTTACACACCTCGACTAGTCGAAGTGGTTAAGGAAAGGCCTAAATGGAATGCAACAGAGTTTTTCAAGCGGATTCATCCAAACACACCTTACCTCCACCAGCTGCCCTGCAGCTGGGGAGCAGTTTTCTTCCCCAAACATTGGAGGGAATTTTATGTTTACATGAACTCAAGATTCACAGAAAATGCCAAAGAAAATCCAGTTCAGATCCCCAAATCAAGAACAAACGGTTGGCAGGCATCATGGAAGAAGTTCCTAATCGACATGATGTACCTAAGAGGCTACGTAAGTCTGTACCCAAATTTCCCAAATCAAGCCAGTTTTTCAACAAATCACATGGAACCAGGCGCTCACATAAGTGCAAAAGACAATATCGTGAAGCATAACAAGGAAGATTTCGAGGTTCCATTACTCAAAGAAAACTTCGTGAATTTCTTACCTAACGGCAAATTGCCGGCGGCTTCGAGACTGCCATCGCTGAACCTCTTCAATCAACCGGTTTCTCTGAAGGGACTCAAATCCGCCGGAGCCAAACTAAGGCAAGATGTTCTGAAATGCGAAGTTTCGGAGATCGTAGCGGTGAATCATCAAACTGGTCTGCCTTCGCACTGCGCAAAATTCTGATTTGTTCTTGAGGATTTTTTTCTTCTTTTCGGCAATAAGTTTGCTGAATTTCATCACTTCGCCTGTAATTTGGTTGGTATGATCTGATCGATTTAATAACAATAAAGAAAAAAAGAAAAGCATTCAATTTGAACATTGTCAATAATTCGTCAATGTCGTGCATTGGAATGATTGTGATACAGAGTATGATTGTGATACTAACGGGACGTCAATAAGCACGAACAAGTTAGTGACAAACTTGATGATAATTTTATCCTCGATCCAAACTGAATGATTTGAAGTATTGAGTTTTTTAAAAAATTGCTCAAAGATATTTGGGTAGCTTTAGTGGGTATTGTGACTTCTAAATCATCTATCACGAAGAAGTTTTTTTTATTATTTGAAGAGATGTTTGACATCTAAAACAATAAAAAAAAGACTATAGGTACATAAAATTTGATTCACGCCAAAGATTTTCCTTTGACATTTTTTAATCCATCAACGAACGACAACAGGTAAATTTGATAATGTCTTCACTATCCTCTACAGGATCGAAATAAAGGTCGTGCGAGAGAAGAAGTTTGGAAGTTGGATGGCTCTAGATTCCTCCATGAGTTTGATCTCTTCAACTAGGAAGTTGGTTGTGTTGTCTTTATCGATCGAAATTAGGTTTGGTTGTGTAGTCTTTATCGATCGAAATTAGGTTTGTATGTTTTGTGTCACAATCGCGTTCATGTGATAGCAGGACAGTGATTGTGTGGCACTTGTTATAACTAATCGAACAAGTCGGCTTTGAGAAATTCGGACGTCAGGAACAACGTCAACGTATGTGGAGTCCTCGAGTCATATTATGAAAAAAGGTTTAGAAAACATGAATGAGGAAATACATTGGAAACCGATTTGAAGAATTAAAGAAATGAACGTTAAATAGCATATATAACTCAGGGTAGGAAGAAGTGACAATTAGCCATATTCCTCTATAATACATTTTGGGGCTTTTTAGCCCTTGCGAGTGTACACATGATTTTAGTCATACACCCCCACATTGACCCAATATGAAATGGTAAAGACCTATCTAGGATAAAAGTATGTAAAAAGGGTTTGGAACAAGCATGCAACCATAAACAACACAACTTGGACAAGCAAGATCAGGATATCAGTCATGCAACCAAGACAACACAACCTAGACAAACAAGACCAGGATATTTGTCATGTAGCCAAGACAACACAACCTGGACAAGCAAGACTAGGATATCTGTCATGCAGTCATAGACAACACGTCTTGACATGCATGACAGTGACACTTTGCATGCTAGAGCTTTTTTGGTCAAGTCAATCCCGAGATATCTATCATACAGTCATCGACAACACGCCTTGGACATGCATGACAGTGACACTTTGCATGCTAAAGCTTTTTTTGTCAAGTCAACCCGACCAACCGAACCCAATCATTTTAGGTCGAGTGCATTAATTAAGTTTCCTAATCAACACTCCATTAAATATTAAAAAAAAAAAAAACAATGATGAGGACTATTAATTTCCTTTTTTTTTTATGGAAAGGGATGAAAAAATTATGGCCTTAAAAAACAGTTCCAAAAGATCAGCCAAGAAGGTTGGTGAATTAAAACTAAGAGCCAATCAAAATGCGAGTAAGCAACCCAGTCAACAGCCTTAATTACAGCAAAAATTGTTACCAAATCCACAGATTTGACAGACCT